AGTCAAATCTGTCAGTCCTTTCTTTTATGATTCTTCTTGTTCTCATGCTTATAAAGACCTTTTCCCATACTGAAATTATAAATCTTAATTATATTTTCTTATAGTTGTTTCATGATTTCATTTATAGGTCACTTTTTTCTCTTTCTTTAGAAATTATTTAGTGTATGTTATAAGGTGATTGTCTTTTCTTTTCTTTCCAGTCATCAGTCATTTCCCCAGCACTGATTTTGGAATAATTCTTTCTTTCCCGCATTAATTGTTAATACCACCTTTATGATATACTCAGTTCTTATTTATATGGGTTACTTTGTATATTTTCTGGAGCATCCTGCCCAATTGACATGTCAGTTCTTGTTTTGGTACTAGTACAAAAGGATAAAAAATCAGACTGTAAATCATGATTCATGGCCCTCTTAGAATTTGCATTTTTCAACAACAGGGCCCTCACAACATCCAAGGTTTCCTGAACACCATGTGCGTCGCTGAGTGGCTCTCTTACTGAAGTTAACCTATTCCATTTCCTTCTAACACTGGCTCACCCCAGCTGTAGAAATAAGCAGCTAGTGGTGTGAAAAGAGGCCAGCCAATGACAGACCAAACATACACTGAGATAAGGGAGATAATCCAAAACAATGCTCTTAGTTATCTTCAGTAGGAAAAAAATCTCAAGAGATAAGGTACGGTTTGAGTCCATCTATGTAGCATTTTTGAGAAAACAAACTTGTAGAAATGGTGAATAGATTAGTGTTTGCCAGGAGATGGAATTGGGTGGGGAAGCAATAGTTACATTTGGTTATAAAAGAGCAATAGGAGGGATCCTTGTGCTTATGGAAATGTTCTGTACCTTGACTGTAGTGGTGGATACACAAACCTAAACGTGATGAAATTATATAGAACTAAATACATACACATGAATACTCATAAAACGGGAAATCTGAGTGTGATTGGTGGATTGTTTTGTTGTCAGTATCCTAATTGTTATATTATACTCAATGTTATACTAAAATGCTACCATTGAGAGAAACTGGGTAAGTGCTTTGCTTTAAGCAACTGATTGGAACTCTACCTTGAAACTGCAAATAATTGGAAGAATCTATCTAAAGCAGTGCAATCCAACAAACAGAACTTTCTGCAATAATGGAAATATCCTATATCTGCACTGTCAGATACAGTGGCCACTAACACAAGTGCATAATGAGCACTTGAAATGTGGCTAGTGCAACTAAAGAACTGAATTTTCAATTGCATTAATTTTGAATAACTTAAACTTACATTTAAATGGCCACTGTACTAGAGACAACCTAGGGGACAAAATAAAATTGGCCTTACAGTCCCCCATTACCTTGTTGTAGGTAGCAAGAAAGAAAATTCATTTCCCACCAGTGCACTAATTAATTAACTTTCTGAGAATGGAATCCATTTATTCACTTTCAAATGAGGATAAAAACTTGCATCCTGACGCGTTTTTGAATGTAAGATAGGGCTGTGAAGCCCCCTCGCACCTGTACACTGCAAGACCGGGATCTAGGTAAGATGACAGCAAGTGCCCATCAACCCTGTGATGATTTAGTAAATGTTTCACGCAATTTATCGGAAAACCTAGCCGAGGATAAGCCAGTTGCTTTGCTTTCACATATTTTGGGGGGAAATCAACAGAAACTTGATTTACCTGTCATTTTCTACCAGCTTATTGCACAACTCTACTTCCAAAAACTTTAGTTCCAGTGACATTTTTTAAAACACCAGAAAAAAAGTCCGTACAAATGCCCCATTTCTTCAAGAGCAACTGTGAATAAATAGTTGGGGGAATATGGAGAAAAACCCTTACAGAACCAGAGATAAGGGATCAGTTCAGATCTAGTCAAATGAAAAACCCGAGTGGCTTTTCGCTGCCAGGTGGCCAGATGCCAGCAACCACAAGCCTACGTCTCCAGGAGGCCGGTTGTGCCTCTGCACCCTTGGGAGGTCCCAGGGAGCCACACCCTGCCGGGGGCCGGACTGCGCCTGCGCGCTCCGCGGGGCGACC